GATATTTTCTGGTGTAACCACCTTTTCAGGTCTCGCCTAAAGTCAGCGGAAGGGAGCAGAAGACCGCACTGTATTCCGCGTCTCTCAAATGCTATAAAACCATATAGGTATAGAGTGTTATACCTATTCATTAAGGAAATGCTCGAAGCCAAAATCTAAGATATGTAATTGTTCCTTCCGATTAGCACCGGTTTCAGTCTCTATATTGACGATTCTTCCAAGTAGCCGTAGCTCTCTTATAAGAACAAATGGATCTTTTCTGGTACCGTCTAAACAGCAGAATTTTTGCTTTGACAAGAAGTTCATACGTGATCGGAACGACAAACAGCGAAAGCTAGTAATGAAAGATTAAACATTTTTCAAAGAATATACACTTAAGCTTAATAAAGCTTCTGCTAACTGACTTAATTGAATTATGTTGTAACAGAAAACCGCAAAACAGCGATATAAGTCACATACAATGTGTATGAATGGTACTGAAAAACTAATGTATTCACATATTGAGACTAATGGGTTTCAAAAAACATCCGTGTGGTGTATTAGAGGCGGGCACGCATTATACAGGAAGTATATGAAGCACTGCATATACCAAAATGATAGCATTTCCGACAAAAGTCGGCGTTCGTAGTGTGTTTGACCATAACTATATTGCTTGCTCAGTCGCACTACTCACTATCACGTTCTCTTTCCCCATTTCTTTTTGTCCGTTTGCATGTTACAGGCGTAGGGGACATCCGCTGGCCGATTGGTCATTATAAAAAAAGAGACAAATTTGATGGTTTAGTTTGCGGACATAGCTGTTCTCCCAATCTAAGAATCGCAATGATCTGCAGGCAAGAAAATAACATATCTATAGACTATAAATTAAGAAATTTCTTTAGCAGCGAAGTATAACGAAAATCTATGTGTCTTTTACAAGCAATATTCTTGAAGATCCTTATCGTAGAACTAGTATACGGGAAAAATTGAATGAATGATATATGTTTTGGGTTAAGCATGTATCATGAAAAAATTTTCATATATACTTATCGTTCACACTTTCAATAACTAACGCTTTTGGCTTCTGCATCGTAATATTTGATGGGAGTTTTTAAAGGAAATGGTGTAGAAGCTTAAAGTCTCTTATATTGACTTTATTTCCTTCTCTCCTTTCTACACATATTCAAGTTTTGGTACGAAAAAACTAAAGCTCTCTGTTTTCATATTCAAGTTACCGTCTATCGATGTACTTTCGTTTAATATAATGTTTATGCATGCATAAGCATGCATGCATGTTTCAAATTTCTTTGTTTAATCAATATTGCTATGCAACTAATATAAATGGGTTTTCAATGTTCAACTTCATTATGATCCCATTATTAGAAATTGTTGAAAAAATCAAATAAGAGTAGTGTGACCTAGATTCGAATGGATGGCTAGTTCATAACGATGTATTCATAATTATTTTAAATATAATTCCATCTATGAGCATATGATTCACAATGACATTTTTTCACATATCAATTTAAGTCCGCATTCGTTCATTAAGTTATAGTTAATCCTATTGTTTAATTTACTCTCTGCATTGTATATTAAAATTTTTTATTAAGGTGTACCAATGGTGATAAAATGAAAAAACGAAATTATATAAAATATTTGATATTAATCATATGCTTCGTTTAACATTAAACCAAGTTTACTAATTGTAATATGATTAAAATTAAGCACATCATGCGAAACAGTTTTCTTTAAAAAGGAAAAAAATAAAAATTAAAAAATTTGCATATTTGCAATATTTGATTAAATAAATGCACACATAAATCAATACACCAAGCTATACATGTTTTACGTCGACTACTGATCACTTATCTATGATGGATAAAATATTTTAAAGATGTAATCAATTTTTTTTATTAATAGATTTACCAAGTGATGCGGATCATACAAGTATTAAAACAAAACCAGCATATAAGATGAATAAAAATGGCACCCGCTCTATATAAAATAATATTAATTTGGAGGGAGATAAGCGGAGATAAGAAACTCTACCGCACTTCTCCTAATATAATTCTTCATTAACTTTCGTCATAAAGCACGGAAGAGTTCCTCCTGAGTGGACGAGTAAGCAACGGATCTCGACTAACATCTCAATGGTCGTGGATTCGAATTTCAAGTGCGTTGAAGTTTTAAAAAAAAACGACAGCGTTAGGCATTAGTGCTTTAAGACTTCAGTCTTAGAATTTGTTTCTCTGGCTAAAAAATTAGTAATCAAATGCGAAAGGCTTTCTTTGCAATGAAAAGCAACATAGACAAATGATCCAAACTTGCCACAAACAATTTATATGTCAACCTTCATTATGCGTTATGGACTTACCTTCAATACGAAAGCATATTTTGTAAGATCTTTTGCATAGAAATGGTACCATGCCGTCTAAATTTTCACGTGCATAGAAAAATGGCAAAAGCTTCAAATTTGTTTGGAGTAACAATATTTTCAAAAAAGAGTATTGTACTGAGAGGGTCCCTAAACAAAGTCCGATCCCATGCATGCGCAATAACATTCTTCCGTAGACCAAAAAGTATACTTATCTGTATACGTATATATACATATATATGTATGCATATATATATAAATTTGATTCTACTACCTATAGATTATATGGTAAAAATCTCTGCATGATACCTTAGTAAACCTAAGACCCGCGTGTAAAATAGAAGCGAATCACGACTTTGGACTCATTATTAGATATTCTTCCCAACATTGTCTTTTCCCAAAAGAGGGTTTATTTGTCTTTTTTCAAAGCCAACTTAACATTTAAGCCGCATAACCATTTTATATATTGACAGCTGATATAGCAAGACTTTCTTGTGAAAACCTCCAATTGATTTTGCGCAGTAGTTTTTGGCTGGCGCGCTCTCATCTATAGAAAGTGAAAAGCAGCATTTTCGGCATATCTTACATTTTCATTATCGAACAAGTAAATACGCTCTTCAAGCAAGAAAAAGAAATTGTCAAAAGTATATAGAGAGCATGCATTGAGCGAACGCCAGCGACAAAAGTAGTCCGCAACATTGCTATTTCGAAGATGCAGCACGTTCTAGAAGCCCAGTTGAATTTGATGAAGGCACAATAAAAGCATTAATTGATGCAAACCGGCGAATAACAAATTATGAGATAGCTGGGAGATTAACTTTATAGAAACCGAGAGTTTATTATAAAATATTGATGCACTTTAAAAAGATTTTCGTAAGAAACGAAACGAAACTACTTTCCGAACAACCTAACACTTATTTATGTGCGTAACTTTTGCGATGCAGAAAATTTTTAATCCGTGATCCGATATTTTATAAACGTTCGTGCCCAGCGTGATATTCTCATCGATTTACACATGTCTATGCAGCTGGCGTCCTCAATACCGAATATATCCACAGTTCATGGCTTATGTTTGGCACATGTTAAAAAGTTTCCCTTTTGGACCGTGGTATTGCAAAGTGAGAAGAGCGGAACGGATCGGTTAACAAACCACAGAAGAGGCCACTCGTAAATTCAATGGGAACCGATTCAACAAGTACTTTCCTTTGCGGTTTAGGAATAGTAGGACTTTCCGTTGCGTTCGGCTTTCTGTACTTTGGCTTATGCACGCTTTATGTTCGCAACGATTTCATGTGTACAAGCCTGAAGATCGTATTTTAACTAGAAGATCTCGCAATATTAGCCAATACGATTTAAAAAAACTCCTATGCGATATAAATAAAGTCCTATTTTTAACGTTTCTAAAAAGTAATGTACGGATTGAACTTGCTTGGGGCTTTGTATGAGGAATGTATCTTAAGAAGGGGAAGACATTTCTGATCGTTTCACTAGTTTAAATGAACCTACCAATGGCTTTAAACTATATCCACATGTTGAAAGGTTTTCCCTGGCAGATGGTGATCGATACAGTTGCGAAAGCTGCGAAATAAATAAACCTTACGTCTGTTCGTGTATTTTGGCAGCTTTTAAACTGAATTTAAAAACCATAATTGAAGCTACATTACCTTTATAGCGTTGGTCTTTAAAATGTATATCTCTTCAATGATGGCTTATATTACAAATAGATTGTTTTTCTTATATAGAATGAGCTCGTGTGACTATCAGTAGAGCATCTTCTCTACCCACTTGATCTGATTGGCTTTAGATGCTTCATCTCACCGATCAAAGATCATTAGGATAAGTTTTTTGCCTTGCTCCTAACAAAGCATTACCACGTTCAATAGGATCAGGCGAAAAGCGCTTGTGTTAGGCGATGCGTTCTTTGAAAAATTTTGCTAGCACCGTTAGTACATCTCGCCAATTCGATTTGCAAAGAAGCGAAGCCGAGTCAGTGCTTCTCTTCCATACAGTTTTACTTCATTTAACAAAACGACATTGTCGCTAGCTGGTCTCACTCACTCCTTATAACTTCACAGTCGGTTTTTCCTTTCTTGCGATTGAGCGAAACGTGGAAGTAGCATACTATCTCCTATCTTTGTTTTCTTTAGATTATCTTTTATAACTATAAAAACTTTATTTACTTTTATTTATTTATTTTATTTATTATACAAATTCCCTTTGGAATTTGAAATACAATTCTTTTAGAAAATATTATACACAAGAAAAGAAATTTGTACCAAGCTCGCTAAAGCGGGTTCATAGTAATCACCAAAAGAATCAAATTTGCATTGAACTAACATAAGTGGTCGATCCCAAACAACCAGAGCAACCTTATGAAGTTTAGTTCTAAATGTATTTAACAATGGCTTAAATGATTTTGGTTCATAAATACGTTTTGTGTTAATTTCTAGCTATAGTTTAATAATTTCCTCAAATGGAAAGCAATAAAAAAAACGGAATGGTTTTAATTAACTCTTTTGCAGAACCATTCAATTGTTCGAGTAAGAATGACTATGTGTCTCCTTTAACAATTAACTAACATTTTAATCAATTTTTCCCTAACTTTTGTTTTTTCTTCTTTTTCTTCTTGTTTTTCTTCTATTTGTAGTTTGTCGGATGGAATTAATAATTTACAAGTCAATAACCAATAACGAAACGAATGTTACGAAAGCTGCCGTAAGAGTAGAAAAGAACGCATTTACAAAAAACAAAAACAACAAAACACCATAACAATAAAAAGTTACAACAAGACAAGTAAATGTGCGAATAGGAGAATGTAACTGTAAGTTACAAGAACAAAAAAAAAACATACATACGTACAAAGCACAAAAAGGTCAAGAAATTGAGAAAACTGTAATCGCTTTAATGGGAAACTAGGATACCCACTACCTATGGTATGTGTGGTGAACACAAATTGTTTTTTTTTCTTATTGTTTGAAGCAACCAAGAGTTTCCTTTATATAGCTTTTGAAATTTTTCCATTTGTGAAGATGTCTCATTTTTATCAATTTATCGCGGATCGGTTTTTCGTGATCTGAATTCCATTGTTAAAGCAAAATTAAACGGGTAGGTTCGTAAAGTTTCCAAGTAGACAGTTCCATGTTTTTATGGCTGACTCAAGTCGAAATCTCAAAATCTGACGTTTGAAAAATACTTCACATGATGATACGGATTGAAAAACCGGAGGAATTGACTAACTTTTTTCATTTGGTGGGTGTAAGACAAAAAAATGAACAATTTACTCGACAGATACCAGCAGACAATGCTGGTGGCGGCAGTTAAGCGTTTAAGAGGATCTTTTTAATGGATCAAAAGAGCATCATGTTGCATGCATAACAGCTGCACCAATAATAGTCAAAATAACAACAACGAATTTATCGATGATATTTAAAAAAAAAAAAACAAAAAAAAAAAAGAAAACAATATCAAAAGAAGACGAATTGAAAAGTAGAGGAGCATGAAAAATTTCATGTAGTTTTCCATGTATCAGTGTTATTGAAATACAACAACAATAATCATTAATCAATGACAAGAATGACTTAATGCTAAAGCGACTCAAACAGCAGTTGAATTATTGTTTTACATATCTCTTTCTCTTTAAAATTCTATCCCCCTCTTGGCTTATCTCTTAATTTAGATTTAGACGAAAGTTCAATTTATAGTAGAATGCGAAAAAGAAAATTATGAAAACATTTAAAGCTTATAAGAAAAACCATACAAGTCATCGGCATTTGACAAATGCGTTCGAAAATTTACAAGAACAGCAACAACCATACATATTAACCGATGCCATGAATGCTGAAATTTATACTCAAAGTACTTCAAGAGAGATTATGGTAAACCTTGGCATCGTCAACGACACAGAAGCCAACCAATCAAAGCTAATACATAGGCAACTAACAAAAACAGCAACAAATATTTTACCATTAATGATGCCATCATCATCATCGTCGTCGTCATCGTCGTCGTCGTCGTCGTCGTCAGAAGCAGTTGCTTTAACAAAATCCGCATTATCAGGTGAAAGCAACAAATTAAAGGAAATGCCACGAAACCAACGCTGCCATCTAAAAAATACTGACAAGCAAATGTTTGCCATGAATCCAGCTTTGCTATCAACGGATATCAGCTGCCAAAAGACCAACTCGACACCGCCATCATCACTGACGTTGTCGTCATTACCAGCACTGTCACCATTAACAATAACATCATTCGCTTATGATGAAGTTGATTTGGTGAGAGCAACAGCAACGTCAAGAGCTTTAGCATCGACAACAACTTCCGCCACAACTAACAGCAGCAGCTATTACAATACCGTATCGTTATTGTCTTCGTTTTTAACATCATTTTCAACGTTTTCTAAACGTAAAAAACCCAACGCTGCCTTTTTCTTTACCCATCATCATTTAGCCAGCAATTCCAAAACTGCTGTTACCTGGCTATTGTCTCTCTTATGTCTGGTAGCACTTTTCGGCTGTGGTCATGCTGGCTTCGCCTGTCTAAGCAATCCTTGTGTTTTCGGCGTGTGTATTGATGGCTTAAACAGGTAAGTTTCTTTTCTTTTCACTTATTTCCTCTATTGCACAAATATCTTGCTGCATACACACACAAAAATTGTAAACACCGACGAAGACCTAAATGACACAATAAGCTCGTTTTTATTAACCCTACAAAATTTACTATTTACCCTTCTTAATAATAATAATAATAATATTTCCCTCATATTTTCCTTTGCTCTTTCTTTGGCTTATTTTTGTTTACTTTTTTTTCCTTTTATTACTGTCAACATTTTCAAGTGCACCTAAAAACCCATTGAAGTGTTAATAAGCTTTCAGTGGCACTGTATGAGTACTCGAAATCCAATTGTGACACCACCACCTACATCGTCAACTCATCGCATTGCATTGCGAATATCCTTGATAACGGTGCTTATATATTTTCATGTAGCCGCATATGTGTATTGCAACACAAACACACTCTGCGCTCCATGGCGTATTAGATATGGAACCACTCAAGTACATTGCCTAAGAAAACTTCAAATATTTGAGCGACGAAATTAGTTTAAAAGTTTTTTTAAGAGATTTTCTAAAGACACTTGTTTTCCATTCCTTTAAAAAAAGCTTCAAAAGGTCTTTGGAAATTCACAGGCTTGCGATGTAGATCGTAAGAAAAAGACCAAGAAACACTTTAATCGATTATTTTAATCGGTATTTACATAGCAAATTAACAAGCCAAACCTTGTGTAAACCGACCCTCTCTCGTTTTATGTTTTCTAAGCATTTTTCCTATGTTCTTACGCCCGACGCTAGCACACTTTTCAAATCACTATGAGTCAGTGCGTGTTGAATCGTTTGGAATTGCTTTTGGATTTTTTCGATTCGAGTCTTTGAATCAACTAAAGCCTTTAGTTGGATGTCACTACCTTCAGCTGGCCTTCCAAAACTAGTGTATTTTTAACACAAAAATTTGTCAAGAGAAATTTTCCGACAAATTTGGGGGTTTTCTTTCTATCAATGCAACATCTTCACACACATTCAATAACTTTTTTCTTGCATGAACAGCTTTCATATCATTTCGATAGCAAAAATTTAAATTGTGCCGAAAAAGGTGCTTTCGATTTTTTATATTGAATAGGGCATTAAACACTGACACACTTTTCACAGAATCACGCAAACATTTGCGAACAAGTCTTGCTATATCAGCTACATAAAATACATTACGAAGATGCGACTACAGTGTAAAGGTGTTTGTGAAAATGTACAATGAAGACTTGGATTGCGAAAAACTCAAATTCATTTTAAGTTATCGAATAAATTTTTTTTATTAACAGAAGATTCTGAATCGTTTTAGATCTATACATCTCTCATCTGTCCGCCTGTCCGCCTGTCCGCCATCCGTTTTTGGAATGATCATGGTCCATAAAATTTAAAAAGGGATATGATCCGCTCATTGCTATACTTGCACCATCCAAAAGACTAGTGCAGACTATGGCACATATTAAAAATTGGTTCAAAAATATTAACGGGAAGCATATAAACTGGAATTAGGAAAAGTATAGTTTGCCTAGAAACATGTTCATAATATATATCGGTTTAAAATCCAAAAAGATATAAATTTTTTTATAAAGACTAATCCGATCAGTTTCTACTTTCATATCGGCAGTATATACTTATTGGATATCATTGCAAAATCAAATATCCCTGAATGGAACATACATTCGTCAATTCATAACTCCCGAACACTCACTCCCTTCGTCATCGGTTGCTATGATTCTACTATACGAGAAGTTACACGCGATCTCCGAACTTAAGTTACGGAAAATCTACGCAAAGCACGTTTTTGTCAGTCAAAATATATATCTCGGTCAGAGAAACAGAAAACAACCGAGTATTACAGTTTTTTATGATGAAGTTACTGGGCACTGGAGCCTTACAACAAGTTTAGTAATATTTTCAACGTGTCTGAAGAAAAGCTTGCACTAAAGCTTATATTGTGATTGCATTGATTATTTAGCAATTTGGTCTATTTGAACTTTTATCGCGTCACGAATACAAAAATTTACAGGAAAAAAAAACACTTCAAAAAAGCCACTTGTCGAGAAACTGAATGGAGTTCCTTTGTTCCTACCTTATTAATTGTAAGAGCTTGACGAATCTGTCTTCAAACGCTTACTCTTTTTCAAAACGAATCTATTCGTGTATTATAATTCGCTAGAGATATTTTCTTGCAACGTAAAAAAAGTTATAATTTAAAAGGTGACACTGACAACAAGAGGCTGAAATTTAATTGCGTTGAAAGATAACAGACAATGGTAATTACTTTGAGATGATAGATATTTTTCGCTGGTTTAGAAAAAATTCCTATCCGAATTAATATGCTGGGGTAGCCTCAGCGGGATACCCAGACTTTCTTACCTCCTTTTATTGATGTCCTTCGTCTCCTGAGTAAAAATAAAATCCCAATTTCTCATGAGGTTACAATTCGAATTCCTTTATTCCACTTCTTAGATCGCTAACTCGAAAGCTTCGTTGTAGTACTAAAGAAGAAGGTGTAATTACCAATCAACAACTTAACGGCTATGGATTAAAATTGAAAAGTGTCTCTACCTAACTCTAATGACTTAACGTCAATGGTCATCGGACGGAAGGGGGAATATGCGTAGCTCGGCACCTATAGTGTGTGATCGCAGCGGACGAAAACAGATTTGTTCAATACGGTCTCTGGTGTGCTGCTCCGTCGGCGATTCGCTCCAAAAAAAGGAAAAAAGAAGTCATCTTGTTCTTCACTATATTTGTGCTCGAGAACCAGTTGGCGTTGCCAATCGGTTAGTTGATCACATTCCCATTCCATTCCGTTCTTACCTCTACAGTTCTTAGTTATTACAATATCCGTATAATATCTACAAGAAGAAAAAAACTGCTTGCTATAAAATAAAACGAGTGGAAAGTGAAACACACTTTAATAACTTATAACCAAAACAAGCAGCGTGGCTTTGATCCTTACAACTTTCAGCAGCGTAATCCTCTTATATGTTCTTAATTTAGCTTTCTGTGAACGTTAGCAAAGCGTTTTGAAATATTTCCACTAAATATCAAATCGATATCTGCTATAGCGCTGAAATTATACCCCAGGTACCTTTATACAAGATTAAGATCTGTCTAGAAACTTCATTCAGGTGACAACATTAAAATTAAATGAAACAAAAAAAAAAAAATTATAATAATTATGGGCATGTTCTTAAAACACAAATGCTCCCAATCAGCGTTACGAGGTAATCGTAACTGAAAATCATGTTCATCCATCTGTCTACTTTATGTTTAATGGAGGCTGAGGACTTTAAAAGAGCAATGTTTTATTCACTTTTCATTTTTTTTTCCGTTTCTTTCAAAACTTGTGTAAGTCGGACCACGAATTCCTGCCTGCAGTCAACAAAAGACTTACTTTCTTTGCATACGATAAGTTAGAGCTCGCTTCGACCAAAAATATTAAACATGCAAAGTCTGTCTCAAATTCTTAGTCCGAATTACGGTTTTTAGGTTTCGCAATTGATTATGGATGCTACCCATTTGTATAAAACCGCAATTTGCCTATCTCTTCCCTGTCGTAACACTGATGGCGTTGTTTACGAATTTTCGGCTTCCTTTTTAGGACGCTAATCTGAGAGAGACGAGCGATAAATTGACCCAAGAGAGACTGACAGCTGATCGGATGAAGACACATATATTCATGAAATTTGGCACTGATGCCTTTTTAATATTGTTTTTCGCTATTATTCACTTTAAACATCGCAAGCGAGGTTTTTCGTGAGAACTATAAGTCTCACGGTTTATTTATGGAATGTGGAAAAAAAGGCATATTCAGCGTCGAAAACAAAAGTGTCCTTTAGAAAGCGTTTTTGTCATATTTATTAATCTTCAAAATGTTGCGTCTTCTAGGGGGTCTATTTCTAATAAATTCGGTCAAATCAAGACTTCACTCAATATGAACATAAGTCCGGTATGATCTAACAAATTTAATTTTCGTAAAAAAGCTATGCATCACTGTCATGTTATCATACCTCTAACGGTCGCAGCGAAAAGAGTTGAGCGCCATTCATAACATCTTTCATAACACATTCCGTTTATAGGGAAGATTCACTACCGCAAAGTTTTCTTAACAGTCTAGTTTTGGTTTTAAGAGTAAACTACAATACAAGCTAAACGAGCTGGTACTTTTCTTTCTTTTTTTTTTTTTTTTGGTAAGTTTCTTATTCAAGAATTCTAACGTGCATGTACATCCTTAGGAACATAAACACTTAAATGCTATCCATTTTTTTATTGATGTAATACATCTATTGGAAGGATGTGTATTTTATGTACGGAAGTACTTCCGCCAAGTGGATTATTCAGTAAGATTGTTCATCCAAAACATCTTTTGTATATAAATCTATATATATTTATATGTGCATTAACGTATGTATGTATGTATGTATGTATGTATGTATGTATGTGTGTATGTATGTGTATATATATATAAACCCATTTCTTATAGGCGTATACAAGACGTTTTTATCTATTTATCCATAATCTCTAGACAAAGTGTGAAAGTACTTTAAAATGCCAAGCCATTACCTCCGTGTTTAATAAAGAAAACTTTAAATTTATTGAAAGAACTTAAAAGTGCTTTTATAATGACACAAATTTTAAATGATAATATTTTCTTTAAAATTTTCTGTACTTCTTGTGCTGAATTGCTGTTTAAGAAAACTTTTTTAAAGCAATTTCATAATCAATTAACTCATTTCAGCTCGTACTCATGCTATTGCATCGATGGTTATACGGGAATACAGTGCCAAACAAATTGGGATGAATGCTGGTCGGGGCCATGTCAAAACGGTGGTACATGCATAGACGGTGTCGCTTACTACAATTGCACGTGTCCAGATGGCTTCTCAGGTATGTTCTTATTTAAATCTCACTTTCTCGAGAAAAGCAAAATTTAAAAGGAAAGGCTGATAAAAAAATCGAAACTGTCTTAAATTTGATTGTGAATGCAAAGAAAATTTCTATTTAGAGCGAGAATAAGTTGTGTTTATGTATCGGGAGCACTTTGCTCTCTTACAAAAAAGTGTTTTCTTTTTTCATTTAAAAGTGTTTGTATTTTCTAACTAACCCTCTGTATGTGTGTGTGTGTGTGTGTGTGTGTGTGTGTGTGTATGTGTGTGTGTGTGTGTGTGTGTGTGTATGTGTGTGTGTGTGTGTGCTTATGAATATATTATGTACGCAGGCATTTGTGGAAAAGACGTTAGAAACACAAAATTAGGTTAACCCAACAAATATCAGCAAACTTAGGCATGCACAAGCTTATGAAGACATTGTCAGTTATATACAAAATTTTTGTCTATTTGCCTTGCTTACGAGCAATGTTTACAAAACTTATTGTTTTATTTAATTATTTATTTATTTAGTGTTTTCATATCTTTTTTGTCTTTCAAATTGCTGACAATTTTATATAAAAAAAAAAAAAATATAAATAACATTTAATTGAATTTTAGTTGAAAGACAATTTTTATTAAATTTTAATGAAAAAGAAAAACTTATTAAAGAAAAATGGAAATGTACGTAACTGCAATTAATTTCCTGAGGTGTTAGTGTGTTATTATGCTTAATTAAAAATCTTTACGGGAACTATATTAATATTATTCGCTCATATTTTATTTAGTTGTATATCCAAGCTCGAAAAGTTAGTGGTGTTCTCATGTTGTCCATAAGTTTGCAACACTCAAGAGGAATCCCGAGAAGCCCTAAGTAGTGCGGACATTTTTAATCGGCAGTAAACCTATGCATTCCCACCAGCTGTTGTGCTTCCGTATTAAACATACCACTGATTGCAATTATTAAGATATCGGCTTCAAATTTGAAAGTGCCTGCAAACAAGGTAATCTTGCAAGTGGGCTGAGTCGAGGAAGAGACACACTTGAAGCATAACATTTCTCTGAGAATTCCTGTGTTTTCAAAAGCAGAAGAAAGAAATAAAAAGAGGGATTGTTTGCTTACTATTTGTAAACAACAACAGATAAAACGATGAAAATGATAGAAATCTTTAATATATGTATGGAAAAAGAAATGTTGACCATGCCCATTTTTGTTCTCTTCGAAGGGGATGGGCTAATGTAAGCTTCTCACTCTTGTTATACTTTATATCACTTGCAGTACGGGCTACATGAAATTCGTGCGGAATTGTACGACGCCCAGCAGGTCTTAACATAAGCCCATTCGTTTTTTTACCAGGGTTCGGAACAGCTTCAGAGGCCACAAGGTGTATATATACTTGACCAGTAACAAATTATCGGAAAAATGAAGATAACATCCTCACTGAAAGTGCTTGCGCTTAGGGCGAAAAAGTCAGTAAAACGTCAACTAAGAACTGCTAGGGTTTCAAAAACTCTAATACTACAACGCCCTCACAAAAAAAAAAAAAATCAAGTCGGCCACTCCCCTTAAATATTATAAAATAACAAAAATTCAAATCCTATTTTTTGTTCTTCTTCACGACAAGGGTGAGCGACATAGGAAACTCATCCACAGTTGATTACAATTTCTTATGCGTTTCTAGTGCGTTTTACCTCCTACATCACATGTGGTGCAGGGATATTTGCGCGGATGTATATGGCAACCAGACGATCCTAAGATAAGTCCACCTTTTATTCTACCGGTAGATTCCTATAGATTCATTTTCGAAGTCACACTGAGCTTACTCGTCTCTCTGACCGCCTGTCCGTCTCACGTGTGCCAATGTATTTTTGTGTTTAATGTACAGAGTGCAATTTTTTGAATATTGTGATACACGGGCCTTTTTTTCGTTCAAGAACTAATCCCAATGAAAATGGTTCGGATCGGATCACTTTTTCAACTGCCCCCATATAAAGACTTATTCCACATTTTCGTTATATGAAAAAATTATAATTTTGCACAAGCGCTGAGTAACAGTGTTTTGGCATTCTAAGTTCATGTGAGAAATGTGTATCGGCAACCCTGCCTACGAAAACGGAATAGGAGAAAAATGTCCAATTTTCCACAAGTCATGGTGAAAATTAATTCACAATAACGATTTCACATAAAAATTAATTACGCTGGTTGACTTTTCGAGCATCCGCCAATATAATAGCGTTCATTAAAAGTATGTCTTTACATAAAGACAAGGCATAACTATGATGTATTATCACGAGAAGGCAATTAATGATTGTATTAGGTAAAATGGCGTAAGGTATCTAATCGTAAGCATTGCCTAACTATAATGTTCTTACTTCGTTTCTTAATTTATTTACATACAAAATCCAGCTTCGATAGAATAATTTCTGAATTAAGTAAACAGAGGACTTTTAAAAGTAATCTTAAACTAAATAATTATAACTTCAACTTTTATAAAAGTTTGCAACTCAGAAGTATGTAGATGTTTAAGATAAAAAATCACTTCTAAATAAACAAATAAGAAGAAACGGGAGAAACCCGCGCAGATGCAATACTCGTAGCAGACGTTGATTGAGTTGGGATTGTACCGTTAAAGCGAATTAAGCAAGCAGAAGCTTGACAACCGATCACAGCAAACGTTGCGACGCTGCTAACAAATCATATGGAACAGATAAGAAGTTAATTTAAAGAAATGACATCGGCATGACACAGGCATCAAAGGAATTTGGTTTGATAGTGTTGCTGGCAGTACTTGACAAATAATAACAATAGTTTAACCAATCTTAATTCAAATATTTATACTAATCGGTCGCAAACTCATTTACCATGAAAAACCGTATGTCGTTGCTTTAATTTTCTTTTTGCAAAAATGAAGACAGTGTCACTTATACGGTATTTAATTAACCGCAACTACGCTCAACTCCTAGTTTATGCGGTAGATACGTTCTTTAGAAAACCGTGCAAAAAATCGTGTTAAAAGAATACATGCTTCATGTCAGAAATTTGGGGATATGTTCTCCAACTATAGAGAAATTGTCTTAGATAAAAAAAAAGGTGCAAAAAGTCTTAATGAAATCCATTTTATTAAAAAAAATAAATAAAATTAGTGTAGAGTGCAAATTTAATCCATAAGTTCAACATATAAAAGTTTAAATTGAAATTAGGAATAAAAATTAATTTCTACTAAGTATTGACCGCTACTGGGCAACAAGCGCGCACTTTCATTGCCGACTGAAGCAAAAGTACTGTCATCAATAGATATGTTAAGCCAACTGTTGGATATGGTTTAAATGGTGAATTTCATTCGCTATTAACGGCTATGTAGGCTGACCGACTTCTGATCACTTCATTCCCCCAATATATACATATATATATATGTATAAATAAATCTCTGTGAGGCACTGTCAAAATTCGAATTAAAAAAAAAACTTTTTTGGGATTCCTGCTAGAGTTCGCATAAAAAAGTTCCTGTATGTGAATCGTGTTATTTTAAAATCGTGCAAAAAAAAATCCGTGTGAAAAAAGTTGGGTATACTTAAAACGATAGAATAACTTTGGTGGATGAATTTGATCTACACTTTAAAGTTTTGCAGACAATCCACAGTTTTCGTAACGAAGAGGGAACCGATAAGCATATTAGATTCCTTAATACTTATTCTGGCGCCAGTGTCGGATAATAAACTCCATGTGCCGGCTATAACTAGGAAAGCATTCAGCAGTTAACATTCGTATTCTCACTGATAAGTAACGCGATTTTTAATTCATATAATAATAAGTATGACGAAAAATTATCATACCACATATTTATGTGTAATGGTTATCTCTTTAGAAGTCAACGCAATCGGAAAATTTGATGTAAGACTGGAGAGCACTATTCAGCTGTTTTCTGGATAACCAAGCAACGATTGATTCTTTGAAAGCAGACATAATATCGACCCCGCAAATGCCTCATCAATTGGCCTAAAATTTCACAGCAGGGTACGATTTCGGCCTACATTCACTCGTTTACTGTGCCAGGTTGTATGGTTTCAAAGAAGTTATTTAGTGAGGAAAGCTCAGCGAATAAAAAGAAAGAAGGCTTAGCTAAAATTTATTGTTTTCGCTCTATAGAAAGTGCAATAATTTTTTTACCAATCTAATACAGGGGCGTGTACAAACTTATACATGTATGTTTATAAAAGGCCAAGAAAAGCACTGCTGTGTAAGTAAACCCCAACTAAAATAAAACCAACGCTCAAATCAAATAAATGTATAAAATATTTTTATTTACCCCAAAGCAAAAAAAAATAAATAAATAAATAAATAAATGCATGTTTTTCAAAGAAAAAATCATTTCGAGCAAGAAAAAACCGTAATTCGAACGAGAATCGAATCATGAGAATCCAGTAACTGAAGTGAACATGTGAAAGCGGTTCGACTGTCTGGTTTATTGCAAGTGTATCGCGCTGCGAGCTATTTTTTTGGACCTTACAAAGGAAATTAAACTTATTGAATGTTACTACGGGCGTTACCATCATTCGGTAAACTACTCTGGAGAGCGAGGCCATACAAATTAAAAACAGAGTGGCTGCATAAGCCGAAAGCGACAAACAGAGAAAAACCGAAAATCAAAGAAAAACAAAGAAAGTTTTCTGACCTTCAGAACGAATTTTGAATACCCAGCGCTAACGAGAAGAATCAAAACATTTTTTTTTTTTTTTCAATATAAAGTGATTGAGACAGCGTATGATTACCATTTTAATAAAGTTTCGGTAGCTTAAAGAATGTATTAATCTTCGATTTGAAGGCATACTGAGCCACTTTGATTAAATGTTAGAAGAGGAAAATAGCTTGACTACATTACCATTGTCTGTTCGAATTTGTTCTAAGGAAAGAGCCTAAACAGGAAGGTTGGATCCTGTCAATGTCTAATTTATGCTCAGAACGGATAATATTAATCGATTAAGAATATCACATCAAACTCTATATATATACATTTATGTTTATATTTTGCACCACAATCGTTATATTGAGCTTGTGAAAATGTATGCAACACCCAGAAGGACTTGAGATAAATCAACCTTTTAGTAAACTTATGCCATTTTGTTTTCGTGTGTTCACCTTACAGATCAGAGTTTTTGAACTATTTTTAGATATTTGAACCGACATGCTGTGATCCACGGACGAATACTTTTGAAAATGGTACGGATGGAATCACTTTTTCGACGGCCTCCCATATAACCATGTGTTTTGAAAAGTCGTTACATGAATGATTGTAGAGTGATGTAGGTTATCGAATGGTGGGTAGTATTTTTTCCTGTTATTTATGCACGTTTGTAAGCTTTTTCTAATAATACGTTCCCCTATCCGTGTACACCAGGGGATATGAAATCGTGTAAAATATTAAACTAACAAACGGCATAAATCTCTTTTAAAAACTTATGCGTCTTTTTTTTTGTTTACGTTTGTTGCTGACATAACACTTGTTCAATGACTTTTTGGCCAACATTTCATTTATTTAATGTTTCGTCGTATTTGCTTTATTTAAACGTTTTCATATTTATGACAAGTAAAGTCGCTCGTCGTTAGAATATTTTTTCCTCTTTTTTTCCATAAAGATTTTATTTGATGAAGATTGATTTTTATACTTTTTAAATGCTTTCTGACATCCAAAGCATTTTCACATAAATTAAAGACAAAAATTATTTTAATTATAATAATATTTCAGATTTTACCTTTGACTATTCCAAGCAGTTTATGTGTTAGAGAAAAGTTTTGCTATCGCACCTGAAATGTAGAAAGAGGAATATATCAATAAGTATGCAATTATCAATACGTTCAACAGATCAATATGTTTTTTATTTCAGACATTAATTCAAGGCTTTTTTATTTAACCTAAATCCGTGCACATCCTCTGAGACTTACGGAATTTCTTTCTAACTGTAAACCTGTGAAGCTCATCGTGGTAGGATTCACAACAAAAACAAATACATGGATTAGGATTAAAAATGGTTTGGTGTAAATGATCGCATCTGTCTTAACCACTTTTCCAGATAAAGTGACACTGGTTCACCAATAATACGAATCTTCTAGGTTTTAAAGTAAACCAATTATCCACAACAACAATTAAGTTTTTCTCTTAAAAATTGATTGCATCACGAGACGTATTCAGGTGTATTCAGACGTATTCGGGCCATCTCGTTGAAACCAAATTGATAGCATGATTCGTGCCACTGAAAAACACGTTTTTTCTATCATAAAGTAAAAAGGAAAGTACAAGCTCTTAAGGACGACTGCTGAGTAGTTGTCCTCGATTTTTATGCACACTTCAATTCACGGCATTGATATCGGCAATAATGCGTTTGTTTTATGACAGGTTTGATTTCTAGCACCTCAAAGACTACCATTTGATCTCAATCACATTAGAAATAGTAAGCTTTATAGGTCGATTACGTCAGCCATAAATTTATTTATTTATGTTGTTGTAATTAATTTTGTAAAAAATCTTATACATTATGCAACGAAAAAGACAGGTCTTATGATGTTTAAAAACCTTTTTCTGTTTTTTTCGTTAATATGACCAATCGATCAACGGCATATTACTATTGAACTTTTCATAGCAAGCTAAAAGATGGATAACCAGCTTTTCGTAGTTAGCCGCTCCAACATTCAATATTTCATACATATATATAATAGCTTAGGTGCCCGAAAAGCTATAAGCAAACATCATTGAAACTTTCTCCGAATCACTAAAATTGATTTTCATTATCTATCTTTTATTGTCCTCTTGTTAAGCCTTCCAATTGAGAAAAAGAAAACTCTAGACCAAACTTAATTCCTGAACAAATATACCGCAATATCTAAGTTTCCCGTTTGCCTAAAATTCAAATGATATTCTTATAAGTGAACATCAATATATATAGTATTAAGAGCACAACAGCCAATAACTCGATTTAAACGATTGAAACTTAAAGAGTAGACTCAGTAAAGTGCCCAAAGGGTTTCACGTGCTTTTATCGTAAAATTTTTTATTATGATTATTTATTAGGTTGACTTTACAAATTGCGAAAACACCTTCAAGCAAGTTAGCAAGATAATCTCCCCAAAAAAAAGAACGGAAAGGATTATTTTTGGTTGACGTTGATATTATAAATGATTTTATCCTCTGACGTATTCATAAATTAAAATATCAAAAATGAAAATGAAAAATTATGGAAAAATTAAAAAAATAATAACAACAAATAGAGGAGAGATAGCGAAATTTATTTTGTAAATAAAAATAGATAAACGCATGTATTTTTTATGAATTTTTATGCGCACATAGATATATGCATGTATTGGTGGGCAAAAAACTAATTTCCCTGTTCGTAGCTTTAAAAAAAAGACAATTTTAGTGCTCACGAAGAAAAGTCGCAGTCGAAAAAATTGATATCAATTTTGAATGCATTACCATTATCACGATATTTATTGTATAGACCATCTACTCAAATGGATCATGATGTGATAATCAAAAGCCTTCATGTCGCCGAATGCGGCATCGCGTCCTATTTAGCCCTACCTCTAATGTTCCATTAGGCTGTCATACTGGATTGCAGTGTTATCATGTTTGTTAACAACTTTTATGCATAATTAACGTTCAATATTGATGGTTGACCATTTTGTCCGACGAACTTTTCGTTGGTCTAGTAATTTTAGTAAACTGGGACGCGACCCACCACCACTTGACTTAACGACTTTCCAAAATAAGTTTTTGTATGGAAAGTAATTGAAAAAGTGACGAAATCTCAACTATCTTCTGTGTATTACATACATCCACACAAACTTAACATACATATATACAACAAGTGGGTTAGGATATAACTGGGATAAATGGTTTTTGACGTGCTCATCTTAAGCGAAAGATTTAAACCAAAAATTTCAAAATTTTTCAAAAGTTTTTTTGGAACTACATTATGAATTAATTCCCATGAAGTGTAAATAAGTTTATTTAAGCTTGAGAGGTATACAATTTACACATCTGGTCGTTTTCTTAGATTTCTCCATTCATTTGTTCACATTAAATATTTGAATTCGTTGCACGACATCAAGCCAAAATGCTCAACACAATCTCCAAATTTTTTCACATATCGCTGATGGATTTCTTAGTGAAAAATGTCAAGAGCTTTTTGATTATTTTGTATTATTAGTTCAATCCACCAGCAATGTCTCGAACAAGTTTAAATTTCTTCTTAAATTAAAGTTTTCATTTCATGTTAAGCGACAAAGTGGAAAGTTTCTGAAATCAATTTTCATCCGTGAGCTCCACTATCGGCAGCATACACCTCTGCTGCTATGTTGAAAATGTCCGTTTGTTAGGTCTTTGTTTGATTAGGTTAGATTTAGTAAACCTTCATTGTACACCAACCAATAATCAATGTCCAGCGAGATTATCAGAGGCCATTACGTTGCATTTCGTATCGAGACAGAGGGACTAACATCATGCTTGGATGAAAATTGTACGCCGCACTCGTCGTTTTGGCTTCATAATGAAAGCTAATGCGTCTAATAATAAATCTAAGCCACAAAGCTTGAGAATATTTTTATAATATATAGAAAACCGTATACGAAAGCCTAAATGTCGTCTTATCCACCTATCTCCAGAACCCCTCAATTTTTTTTTTTTTTTTTCAAAGGATAACTGGTTTCATGGGAAAATGTCGAAATAGCATTCCTGCCCATTCAATAGGAGAATGAATAGTCTAAAATGTCTAAAGCCTTTTAAAGGCTTTCTAATCCGTTTTAAACAAAAAATTGATTCGTTGAAAATAATCTTTACTTTAATAAATAAATTTGGTGAATAGTTTCAAAGTCAAAAGTGTATTTTTCAATTTTTATTTATTATATAAATAAATAAATTAAAGAAAACATCCTTTCTGTTTAATACAAAAGATAACGTAATAACGATAATGAATTCATCAATTATTATCAATTTTTTCAAATTTTCTTATTGTCCATTATGCAAACAATAAATAAATGTTTGCACATAAACACATATGTAAAGTCTGAGATTTCAAACGCAATTGAGTTCTCATTTCCATACATATTTCAAAGTTTTACTTTTTACCTTGAACGTTGTTAACCTTTTAGGGATAGTTTTGCTCAGCGTTCACGAACAATAAGCATAAATTTAAATTCTAGTCTTTTTCTTCGAACTTCCGTTTACAAACAAATGAACAAAAAGGTTTTGTTAGTATTAAAAAGAAATAAAACGAAAAAGAAAAGAGGAAAAACAGAAAAGAAAGTCAGTTTTGTAACATTTTCTACAAATATTCTCTTTTCCTTATTTCAGCTCTCTCTCCCTCTCTCTGTCTATCTTTCACGTTGCTACTCTTATCACGCTACTATTCATTACATAAAAACCCAAACACTACCTAAAGGTAAATAACTGGTAAGGAACAAAGGAAGCTGATAAAGCAGAGAGAACGACGGGGCGAAAGAGGGAAGTAAAAATTGTATGAGAGAGAGGGGGAAAGGGCTAGTCAATGGTATGAAACCTGCAACTGTTATGCAGATTTATGCTTGCATTAATTTGACTTTATGTAACAGTTTTCTTCTTCTTTTTTGGGTTGCTCGTACATTTAAGACCAAAGATGCAAAGAAATAAAACAACAGTGAAAACTATGATAAATGAAATTTTAAAGCGGAGATTTGGATTTGAAAAAAGTATTATTAAACAGTTTTATAACAAATTTAAAATAAGGCAACGGCAACATGAAAATTGCTGTTCATGCAATCTTTCATTCATATAATATATTAACGAATTCATATATTCGCATATTCGTATGTTTATGTAATCGTGTATTCACATATTCATCTATATCCAATAATTTATATATTCGTATATTCAGGTACTCGTACATGCGTATATTTAGATATTCATATAATCATATGCTCACATATATTCATACATTAATATATTCATACATTCAAATGTTCATCTGTTCATATATTCGAACCCTGAAACATCAAAACATTCATATATGCACATATTCTCAGATTCATATTCTGATGTATTCACATACTTATACGTTCATATATTCACGTATTCAATTATTCATACACATGTATATATATTCATATATAATCATAATCATTCACGAATTTATATATTCAAATGTCAATTTGTTCATATGCTTAAGCATTGATATATTCCTGCACTCGTGTATTCGGACATTCATATGTTTACGCACTCACATATTTATATATTCATATATTTATACATTCATATATACATATATTCGTACATCCATATACTCATCTATTCATATTAAAAATTTTAAAAAATTAAGATCAATTTAATTTCATCCTCGTCGCTTTAAAAGTATCTACTCTCAGACTTTATACACTTAAACCAACGTTTTTTCCAATCCTCGAAACAGTTGTTATAATCGATTTCCATTTTCCATTTCCCGCGATGCAGCTTGCATCTCTTCAATCGAGTCAAAGTGTTATTCCCGGAGTGGTGTTTTTAGTTCAGAAAGCAGCCAGAAGTCAGTTGTTGTGGGGGGTGAATTTGTAACGAAATGGTCTCGAAAAACTAATGTGGTACCAATCGAGATTTGTCGCGTTTCAGGGCCAACATATCTTTTAATAAATTGCTGACCGACCCGTATTCATATATTCACCATATTCATATACTCAAATATTCAAACATTTATACATTCATGTATTCATAACATTATTTATTCATATGCTCATGTATATTCATAAATTTATATGTTCACACAGTCATAAACACTCAAATTTTA